GCCAATAGGGAAATGTAAGTCAAAACTACAATAAGATACCCTACGTGTCCACTACGATATCTATATAAACAATGGATAATGATAAGTGTTAGCAAAGATGCAGAGAAGTTAGAACCTTCATAAACTGCTAGTGAGAATATAAAATAGGGTAGCCACTTCAAAAGGCATTTTTTAAATTCCGGTAAGCACAGACGAAGCAGTTTCATTCTTTGCTATACAGTATACCCAAGACAACTAAAAACGTATGTCAACCCCAAAATCTGCACATGAATATTCATAGCTGATTTAGTCATAGTGGCTAAAAACAAAATGTCCATGTCTGATCAAGGGATAAATAAATGTAGTATATCTGTACAATGGAATATCATCCAGCCATAAAAAGGAATGAAGTACTATTACATGTTACAACATGAATAAACCTGGAAAATACATTTTGTTAAAGAAGCTAGTCTCAAAAGGCCACTGATTAGATGATTCATTTAGTGAAATGCCTACAAGAGATCAATCTATACAGACAGAAAGTAGATTTTTGGTTTGACAAGAGCTGAGGATGGGGATTGGAAGAAAATGGGGAGTGACCGCTAAGAGGAGCAGGGTTTCTTCTTGGAGTGATTAAAATATCAAAGCTGATGGTCACTGAAAACATTAAAACTATTTAATCACACAATTTAAGTTGGTGAAATATATAGATGGATCTTGTATTCATAAAGGCAATGTAAATTAAAAGCATGTGTATTCCAGACACAAAGAGAGGGCAGCGTTTTTGTGTTCAACAATTGGGTCATGCAATAAGTTCCAATAGGTGGCCCTAAATATGAAGAGTTAATAAAGAGTCCCCACAAACTTAGGGCATTATTATGGGCCCAGTTTGATAGGTGAAGACACTGAGCTGTGCAGAAATTTTAGGTCACGTAGCTAGTATAAGATGGGAGCCACATTCCAATACAGGACGTTAATAGCTGTGCCTGGGATTACTGCTACAGATTCTTCTGGCAGAAGCACCATCTCTGCCCTGAGATGAAGGCAGTGGAGAACGTTCATTGCTGAGAAGCTTTCCAAGAGATTGCTTTCTCTCACTAGTGCCAACTCCTCACTGCTCAGCAGAAAGCCCTCATCATTTGGGTACCTACCATCTGTTTAATAGTCGTTGTAAAAGTCTTGGTTTCTGCTATTTCTAGACCAAAATTCAGGACAAAGCAATCTCTTCGCAAATAGTCAGCAGAAGCCTTCTCTCCTTTGGGGAAGAGATGAAGTGATGTCTGCCTACCATTGTGAATCTTCAGCCATTGTAATCAGGGTTTCAGGGAAAATAGATTTAACACAGGACACATAATTTATATGATTATTTCATAATCCAGAAAGTCAGATGCAGAAAAGTACAGATCTGTCCACACACCAGAGACCCCAATAATCCGGTTGAAGGCCCTGGATCTCATGGCAATGTCCTGTATGAGTCCAGCTGAAGACTAAGAGCCCATGACAATATCTCATGGACGTCTGTATCAAGGATCTGTACTGGGAAGGCCGAAAGGTCAGTGGTGGAAGCTAGAAAGTCTACCCCAGCGAGACGAATGATCTGTGCCAGCAGGCTGAGGGATCTGCACTGGAGCCCAGAAAGAGACAATCAAGGTAAGGCTCAGAGCTCCTCTGAAAAAGACCACAGCCATCCTCCACAACAGCAAGGACTCAAGCTCCTCCAGTGATGATGACAGCTGAATTAATATCAGGAAAACCAGCATGACAAGCTTCTCCAGGAGAATCAATAGCTCACATGCTTCCCTTTTTATGCTGCTGACAACAACGCTCAGGTGGGTCCTCCACACCCACTGGCAGTTTAGCTGAGTGCTACAAGTTGACCATTAGTTCATCCACCACATCAGCCAAGAATGATCAGGGAGAAGGTTTTGTGACACAGTTCTTAATCTCACAGCAACTTCTCCAAATCCTTAAGAACATCAGTGATAGTAAGCTATTTTTGAATGCTGAGGACAGTGTTAACAGTTTTTCAGTTTAAGCCTGATACAACAGACTTCTACAACAGACTGATACAACAGACTTCTATTCTTCAGAAGACATTTCAGTGCTTTCACAAAACCTCAGGGTTTGTTTAACCATCATTTTTGTCTGATTATCAAATAAATACAGGGACCTAAATCTTTGCATTTTAGACTGTTTCTATGAGCTAGATTCCTAGATGTGGAATAATCCCAAGTTGAAAGACATGAACATTTTTTTAAGGCTCCTGATCCATACTGAAAAATTGCTTTGCAAAAAGATTGAACCAATTTACACTCCCACCAGCAGTATATGAAAATATATTTAAATGCAAATTCCAAACTGCAGTACATCTTTTTCTTAGATATTTCACTTTAAAAAAAATTTTTTAATGCTACACCAAAGCTGACCCAGGATGTTAAAAAAAGGAAGTCTAGTGTAAAAGTGGAGCAGATATTAAAACAGCTCTTAGGCAGAAATAAGCTTTTTTTAAAAAAATGCCTAAAAAGGATGATAAAAATTCTAAGGCATCATAGCAAGAAGCACAATTCAACTTTTTTTTTTTAAGATCAGGAAAACTTTATTGGGATGATAGCTATTGAGAGACAGGAGAGGAACCAAAAATGGGTTGCCAATGAGCCCACTTTTCAAAAGATGTTTTATGGAGCAAAATCATGAGGTAGGTACAATATCATGAGGTGGGCACAATGTGGGACAAAACTATGCTCCACCAATAAGCTTAGAGTATATAAATAACTGGCTATAAGTATAGGGAGTTAGGTAATGTTAATCCAGTGGGGAAGCAAGTCACACAGCAAGCACATATAGAAAGAACAAGACCTTTTTGGGAAGAGAGGAGTCAGGAGGTCCTGGAAGATGGATGTCTATCTAGACTTTATTGGACCAGGTAATATCATTTATAGTATATGGCTTGTCTTCAGGAAGGGAGGTAGTCTAGTCATTCCATCTTTATCTTGAGGCCTGGCATTCTATGAATGCACCTCCAGTCACAGTTGTAATGTGTTCTGTTCTTTTGCACTGACTAGTTTAAGGGCCCAGCCCTGTCTGACTGCCTATAATATTTCTACCTAACCTAGCTGTCTATATTATAGCTGTCTATAATATTCCCCCCTTTGAGCAGGTACCCCTAACTGCCAAGGGGGAGCAAGAGGTGACCACCACTCTTCTTCCAGCAGGAAGGGATTGTAGCTGTGACTCTCCACAGAGGGTCTATCTAAAGGCCCTTGATAGACATCAGGTAAGTGTATAGCTCTAAGCCTGGAGACAAGAGCAAAGCAAGGCAAGTATGCGTGAGTCAAATAAAAAGATCAACGAGACTATTATGAATACAATCAACAAATATCTGCACTAGGAAAAGCCAGCAATAGCTTCCCACAAAGAAGGTAAGGAGACGTTCTACGGAATTTCAGAATTTAACATGACATCAATCTGTCATTTAATATCTTGAATAGTCACTGAGATATTAGAAAGATCAGAAATGTACATACATTCAGCTTTTACAATTGCCTAAGTACCCCCTTGTGCTGCTGCTAGAATGTCTAACAGCATCCGATTTGGGAGGATAGCTTGTCTCATTAATTTTACTTCATTTAGGAGAGAGATCAGTGAAGGTGTCATTTAAGGCCTGTTGAATATAGTTAGTCAAGACCTAAATGTGTTGTATGACATCGTCTAATCCTACGGAAGGGATAAAGATAGAAGCCAAATGATCATACCAGTGAAACATACTTTTAAACCATTGGTGTTGTAGACAGGGTAAATTTGCAGGTTGGCTGATATTTTTAACAATCCTGCCTTGTAACCATGCAAGACCCAGGGTGCATCTCCCGACCCATCTATGGGATAGCCAGGGCCACAAATTGGTTCTACAGAACCAATAAGTACCACTGGAAGCTTCCCATCTAATTCCAGGGCAATTAAGCCAGTCTATTGCAAACCAGTCTTTGACCTGCGAAGTTATGGGTGTATAGACTGCTGGGGGTTGGGGGTAACCATCCCAAGTATTTAGTAGAGTTAGGTCAGTGAGAATAGGAATGATTTCTTTGTTCCCAAAAAGGGGACCTTTTTACTAAGTTGCCCTATACTTGGAGTTAACCACATATAATCATCATCAGTATAAATACTGACTTTCTGTCCAAGAAGTACAATTCTAAAGGGACCATTAACAGTTTGGCTTAGATTGAGATTGTAACCGCCAAAAATTTTGGGCAGGGTCAAGTCTTGTTTAGAAAAAGCAGGATATTTCACACTTATACTTCTAAAGATGACAAAATATGTGTGAAGGCAGGATTTGGGATATAGTATTGCCTGAATAATCAATTCACTTAAAAAGAAAAAAAAAAAAATCTCTTCCTCCAGTACCAGGAGGGGCGCCTATCTCTCCCACCCCAGGGCGCCTCTTTTAGTCTTGAGTTCTGCTTGCAACCACAAGGGCCACCTCCACCGCCAATAATGGGGCACAGTGATTTTTGGGGGCATGTGGATGGGCAGGGAAGAAGCCCAAACTCCTGAGCTCTAACGAACTGATGGGGCGCTGAGACCTTAACGCTCAACTGACTCCCTCAAACCCCCTCCCGTTATTTAGGAAACTGCCCAGTGCCCGCCTGTAAATCTTCCATTACTTCTCGGTGCCTTCTCCAATTGCTTCCACCAGAAAGAGCGGACAGCCAAGGAGGAGCCAGAAACTCGATTTCCCCGCTACCCACTTCGCTTCCTCACTTTTGTGCCTCCTTTCCTGATCCCTCTCCTTCCTTTCCTTTCTTCTTCTCGTCTTCCCCTTCATGCTTCCTTCCCCGCCCTCCCCCACGGACCCTCTCTACTCCTCCCCTAGGGGCTCCTTCTCCCCGCCCCCTCTGCCCCTGAAGCCAATCAGCGAGAGTCCTCCCACAGCCCCGCCCCTCCCGGGCTGTTCGAGGCGGGACTGGCCGAGCCCAGGCCGAGCGCGGGTGCGGAGGGTGGCGCCGTGGGGCGGGGGCGATGGGGCCTGGCGGGCGGGCGGCGGCGCCCGGCTCGCCGAGAGGCGAGCGTGCGAGGTTGTGAGGGGGCGAAGCGGGCGCTGTGGCCCGCCTGGGATGGGCCAGCCCCGGCCTGGCTGGGCCGAGCGGGAAGCGCGGGCGGCTTACCAGCCAGGCCTGCCGGGCGGGCGGCCCGGAGGCTGAGGTAGAAGTGGGCGCGGAGGAAGGGGCCGAGCCAAGGCGGTGGGTGGAGCGGCGAAGGGGGCGGAGGCTGGGCCGCAGCGGGCGAGCGGAGCGGGGCGCCTGTCCGGAGCTCCGAGGCGGCGGCGGCGGAGGCGGCGGCGCCTGAGGAAGCTGAGGCGGCGGCGTGCCCGGACGAGCGCCCAGAGGTGGCGGACGAGGCGCCGGGGGCCCCCATGGGCGGGTGTGTGGGCGCCCAGCACGACTCCTCTGGCAGCCTCAACGAGAATTCGGAGGGCACCGGAGGTAGGTGAGCGCCAGGGGGCAGCCTCGGCCCCCATTGTTCCCGGCCAGGCCCGGCCACCTGTCCCGATCCCCGCGGCCGCGCGGCCCCCGCACCCTTTGTCGTCTGCTGCTCCATGTCACCCCCGCGCCCCCCTTCCCGCTGCCCCGTCGGCTGCGGGGGTTGCCCTGCCCTCCTGCCGCGGGAGAAAGTCCTCCGCGCGCCGGGGACTCGGCGCTTGGCCTCGCCGGCCGCACCGCCCGGCTCGGGAAACTCGGACCCGAAGCTGCCCTTCTGGCCACCTCACTCTCTCTCCAGCCCGTTTAATTATTCAGGAACAGGATGGCGGCGCCGGGCTTGCAGAAGAGCGGATTGATGGGGATGGCGGGGAGGGGGAGAGAGCCTAATGCGTTCCCTCCGACGGGCCCCGCCACATCTCTCCGCACCCTTCCTTGTTCAGCAGAGTTGGCTGGGCTCAGCTTTCCCGAGTTTCAGATGACAGCTGCCCTGGTTGGTTCCAATTTGGCCATTTAAACCTGGGAGTTTCTGGAGCTCGGCTGGAGAAGTCTCAAGTGGCCTCAGGCATTACATTGAAGGGAGGGCAAACGGTCTCTGTGTAAAACGCTACTTTTGCACTGCGGGGAGGTTTGGGGCCAGGGTCCTGCTGGGTTGTACTCGTCAAATTTTGATCTGTCTTGCGTAAAAGGAAGATATGTACGATAAAAGTACTCATGAGAGTCTGACTTACCTCAGCTATATAGGATTAGTACTTTAAAAGTTTTTTTTTTTTTTAATTTTAATATGGGATGCACTTCAGCTGTATGGTAAATAGGTCTGTGTTGACAGGTATTTTAAATTTGTTTATTGATAGTTGTAATATAGGGTGGAATAATAATAAAATTCTATGCTAAGTGACCTGTACAGTACTGAGTCTGTTATTTAGGTTGCATACAAGTTAGAATGTTTTAGTTGCTGGAATAGCTTTCAGGAGTAGCAAAACAGCGTCGGTTTGATTTCGACCTGATGCTAATGTGTGTCGCCCATATTTATAAGTTTCAAAACTAAATTGGGAAATAAAAATGACAAACTCAGTTTACTAACATTTAGATCAGTTGCTTGCCCTGTACTTAGGCTCTGCCCATGGGCACTGTACATCTAACTTTCTGGCTGTATTTCCTGGATTACAGGATGTTCAGTCGTGCCACTTCATTAAAATCTGTGGGTATCCTGTATAATCCTGGACAGATTATATGGGAGCCCAATAAAGGTGGTCTTGAAAACAGGAGTCCCCGAGAGTGGTACTTTATAGTTCATTTCATATTACAGCATTGTCACATGTGGCACACCAGTGAGCGAAGATAAAGCTAGAAAATAAGGGTCCAATTTAAAACAGCTTTGGGTTAATCTAGTTGAGGTGATTGATCATTAAAGGTACCCATGAATATTAGTACTTCTTATGGCGTTCAATTTTATTTTTTGCATTTATGTTAAAATTGTAATAGGGGCTGGTGAGATGGCTCAGTGGTCTAAAGCACCAACTTAGAACAAGCTTAGCAAAGCACAGGGACCGAGGTTCAATCCCCCAGCACCGCATGCCAGCCAGCCCCACCCCCTGGTGGGCTGAGCTGGCCATACACACACACACACACACACACACACACATACACATAAATAAATAAAAATTAAAAAAATAAATAAAATAAAATTATAATAAATATTTTTTCTTTTGTGTAATAAATGTGAACCAATTTTTTAAAAGACTACCAGGCATCATTAGTACTGAATTTAAATCGTAGTTTGGATAATGTATTACCAGTAGTATCCAATAAGATAGCTGTAGTATCAGTCCCTTTGAGGATTAAGTTCTTTGGACCATAAGTAGTGCTATACTTTCCAAAGAAAAGTTTAGATAAAAGAATACCAACCACTACTTAAGAGTTAATTGTCATTTAACTCTTGTGTGTATATCAAGAAAAGGTTCCTTATTGGGTGGATTACTTTTCTGAAGAAATTTGGAGAATTTCAAAAGATCATAGAATACACAAATAGTTTAGTTCACATTATAAGATTCTTATCTATTTGGAATCGTTTATATATTCCTGTGATGTACGTTGGCTAAAATTCAGATTTACTTTTTTTTTTCCAGATTTACTTCTATAAATACCTAATTTTAATAAAGTTAGGTATATCATAGAAGTTAGGAGCTGAGTGTGGTGATACACTCCTGTAATCCTAGCACTCAGGAGGCGGAGGCAGAGGATTGCTGTTTGAGGCCAGCCTGGGCTATATAGTGAGTTGAAGGCCAGCCTCAACAGCATAGTGAGACCCTACCTTAAAATTGAACAAATTGACCCTATGTTAAAAAAATAAAATTATATTCAAGAGTACTTGACAGTTTCCAAACTTTTATTTTCCTAGAATTTCCTAGTGTGTTGACATTTTGATCAGTGTATTCTTCATGGTTCTTTGGTGTATTATGACAGTGTGATCCAGGTTTTAGTCTTTCAGATATCTGGACAAAATTTTAGCCATGGCATTTGCTAAGGAATTAAATCCCTTATGGTTTTTAAAACAAGAAATATGTGACAGGGAGCAGGGGGACTAACAAAGACAGCTAAAAGGCTTGTTTTCTAAATTCACTTCTTTAATGAGAGTAATGATTTGCAAAGTCAGTATTTGGTTGGTGGTCATGTCATTTATTCTGTACATTCAATAATGTTCTAAGAGAATTGGCCCTTGTAATCACAGTTTCCAGATTTGCAGGAAGATATCCAAATGCTGGACATCCATTTCTGTAGTCTATTTCAGAGTATCTTGGGAACATCCAGAGTTCTTTTAGATATTCATTTATAGCAGTCTTACAGACACCTACTTGATGAGTAACAGTAGTTCTTTAATAATGCCATCCACCATTTATCTGATATTTATTATATAACAGATCTTGTGCTACGGGATTAATAAATTCATTGAGGCCTCAACAACTCTATGAAGTAGATATTATACCTATTTTATAGATGAGACTGAAGCTCAGAGAAATTAAATAACTTGCTCAGTATTAGGAAGTTCGTGCATGGCAATCCAAAAACCAAGGCTACATTCAAGAGTGAGAGTTTCTCCTTTCCCTCTCCTTTTTTCTACCTTGTTTTGTTTTATAAAATTGTGATAAAGTATAACAAAATTTGCCATTTTAACAATTTTTAAATGTTTAGTTCAGCATCATTTAATTATATTTATGTTCAATAACCATCACTATTGCACATTTCCAGACTTTCTCATCATTCCAAGCAGAAACTGGATCCCTTAAACAGTATGTCTTTGTTCCCTGCTATTATAACCGCTGGTGTTTTTACCTTGATGAATTTGCCCATTGTAAGTGTTTCATACAAATAAAATCTCAATATTTATCTTTTCTTTGTATTTTATGTATCAGTATTTAATCTTTATGGTTGAATATTGCATGGTGTGTACACATTGCATGTTTGCCTGTCCATCTGTTGGTATACATTTGGGTAGTTTATACATTTTGGTATAACTAATGCAGCTGTGAATCTTGGTGTACCACTATCTGGTTGACTCCATTTTTAGTTCTTTTGGCTAAATAACTAAGAATGGCATTGTTGGGCGGGTAGTATAGTCATTCTATGTTTGTATTTTTGAGAAACTTCAAACTTTTTTCCACAATAGCTGTATCATTTTACATTCTCACTGTTAGTGTCTTCACCAACCCTCGTTTTCCATTTTTTTTTAATTATAGCAATTCTAGTGGATGTGAATTGCTATCTTATGATTTTGATTTGCATTTCCCTAGTGGGTAGTGTTTACATGTAATTGGTAGCCATTTCTATAGAATTTTTGGAAAAGTTCCTATTTTTATTTCACTTATTTATTTACTTATTTAGGTACCAGGAATTGAACTCACAACCTTATGCTTGCCAGCAGGCATGGTGCCACTGAGCTATATCCCTAGACCTTGGAAAACTTTTTTTTATGCATTTAGTACAGGGGATACAGGATATACAGGACCTAACTACATAGATCAGACTATAGTGATTCTCCTGATTTCAGCCTCCCAAGCACAGGGATTATCAACATGCACCACCATGCCCAATCTCACTTGCCATCTCAGTGAGTCCCAGGGGCGGGGCCCAGCACAGCACGCTAGGGATCAAACCACTGCCTGCGCTCTGCCTAAGCAGCACTTTAGTCCGCTAAACTATCAGGTCAGCTCTGGAAAACTTTTATATAAGCCTTTTGCTCACTTTTTAGTGGAATATTTGAGGGTTTTTTTTTTTTTTCTGAGTTGTACAAATTCTTTACATATTTTGAATGTGAGATCCTTATCAGATTTATGAGTTGCAAATATTTTCTCCTTTTCTGTGGATTATCTTCTTTCTCTTAATAGTATCTTTTGATGTACAAAAGTTTGTAAGTTTAATACAATTCATTTTATGCTCTACTATATTGCCTGTATTTCTACTGTGAAATGTATGTTCCCCATTGATACCTTCACTTAACAGATAAAGAATAAAGATCTAAACTCATCATGGTGGCAAATGCTTGTAATCCTAGCCCTTGGGAAGTTGAGGTAGGAGGACTGAAAGTTCAAGACCAGCATGGACTACATAATGAGACCCAATGTTTAAAATAATAATAATAATAATAATAATAATAATAATAAAGATCTAGAATGAGTAGTTCACAAATCTGTCAACTAAGGGAGCCGGGGAGATGGCTCAGTGGAATAAGTGCTTCCCTGGCAAGCACAAGGGCCTGAGTTCAATCTCCAGTTCTGCCAAAAATAACCAAATCTGTCAACTAATATTTGCCTTCTCAGCTATGAATAAAAAACTTTTATTTGCTCTTTCTGATCTGGGGAAAGGTTATTAGCAGTAAAATTCTGTTGTTTTAAGACACCATCTTGGGCCAGAGAGATAGCTCAGTGGCATAAGTGCCTGCCTGGCAAGCACAAGGTCCTGAGTTTGATCCCTGGAACAAAAAAAGAGAGAGAGAGAGAGACATGGTT